TACCATAATATATATTCAAGAGACTATATAGTCTACTGTAATGTGCTGTGCATGGACTATACATTCTATACCTCTGGTCTGCCATGGGCAGGTATTACTTCTATAAAAGGGCGGAACAAGTTCAGGTACTAAAGTTGGAAAAAAGATGGATGAACACGGCTGATTGGTTTGAAGTGGAAACAGGCACTGAAACGTTGATTGTGCTTTAGCGGGGATCAAGAGGAGACACTTTACATCACGACATAGTTGTGTGAAGTAGAATAGAGGTACTTGTAGTGAGTTTTACAAATTAAAACACCTTCCAGCAGCTTGGGCGAGGTCTCATTAACGTGCTGCAGGTTGTTTGTTGAACAGGTTTAGAAAGACAACAAGAAGAATGAAACATGGTTTTAGCAGCAGTTAGTTTGTCGTCTTCAAAGCTTTTTCCTGCGTCTGGTTTGACGACACGTCTGTTAAATAACAACATGTGAATGAGACCATGTTGCTGTTGGGAGGTGTAGTGCTTTCATTTTTGTTTGAGCTATGCTAGCAGTTTCCCTCTGCTTTCAGTCTTTGTGCTAAGCTAGGCTAAACTCCTCTTTATTTATGATCTTCAGGTAATAAGTTTAAAATAGTTTTTTTTTTAATCACTACATTATAGCTGCAACAGTTAAATGATGAATTGAGATAAATTGTCGAACTTAAGCTTAAAGTTGCCTTTACACCCCCCCCCCCTCACTGAAATGGAGAATCTGTTTGCAACAATTAGACGATTCAAGAAAAGTTAATCTTCAACAATTCTGATTATTGGTTGATCATCATCACGAGACAAAACTGCTCTAGAAGATTCTCAAATGTGAAAATCTCTTGGTCTAACACAGACTGTTAAAAAAAAAAATGGACGTCAAGACAGCTCCCAAACGGGAAACAAAATCCCCTGGATCGCCCTCTGGTGGCTGGCTACAGTATAGATCATAAACCCCACTCCTCCATGTTAGCAGATGGGACATGGACATATTTCTCAAAGGTCATTTAGGAAGTGTTTCTGATCAGTTTGAAAATGAGCTGAGACTCTTCAATGATCAAGCTCCTGCATCAGTGGGACATCGATACTGCACAGACTCTGGCTCCAGATGTCTAAGATGTCAGCGTTCACTTGTGGGATATTTCGGTTTCATTGCTGGAGAGTGGGAGTGGGTGGAGATGTGTTGTCCATTTTAATTTACAGTCTGTGGTCTAACATGATGGTCAAATTTTTGGAATCGTTATTCTGTTTTGTAGATCAAGAAACAAATCTGCAGGTGAATCAGGAGAAGAAGCCCTAAAAATGAAAACATGGTTATCTCCATTTATGGCCTCTGGGAAACTCTATATATGGTCTGGAGGAAACTCCACATATGGCAGGGAAGGAATCCCCAATATGGCAGGGAGGAAACTCCATTTTTGGCCTGTTTCTGACAAGTCACTATAACTACAGGGGTCGCGGCAGGTAAAGCCATATTTGATTGATTTAATTTAGGAATTACACACTTGAGTTACAGGGGTTAACCGAAGAGATTCAGGTGTCGGTGTGAGGAAAGTATAGAAGGGGAAGGAGAAAGGTATTTTCTGTACAGATGGCTTTAAACAGATAGCACCATGTACAGTAAGCCCTCGATAAGCAGGTTAGAAACCAGAGAGGTTTACAGTTGGAGCTCGGCTGCAGCTCTCCCTGAAACACACAGCACATCAGCACAAAGTCATACTCATTGACAAATCATCATGAATTCCAAAACATCACCGAAACGACCTTGAAATTCAACTCATTGTCAAATCATAAGGAACTCATAGTCATTGTCCAAACTATTAAAACTCTGTAAGTCATCACCACCACGTTATTATTACTTGTTATTCATAAGTTCTAGATGATCAGAATTAAGATACGAACAGAAAATCAACACAAAGTCTTCATGAGTGATATTTGGAAAAAGAAAAAATGCTAAGACACAAGAAGATTCTTTTAAAATGAACGGAGACGTATCCTCAGCTAGAATCTCCCGTTGTTAAGGTTGAGACTCGTTAATCGTACAGCTCCGCTAGCAAAAGTCCAGCTAATCAGGTCTGTCTCATTAAATCTGTCGTCAGTTTGTCACATCAGCTTTTTGATCAACGTATCTTCACCTGTTGAGAAGGTTCAGCTCGGTGTTCGGTGAAGAATCTCGTAAGCTGATGTGTCATGTGTGATACCATCAAAAACTATCGAGTCTCTTTTAAATACTCGTCTCTAATTTCAGCTTGGTTTTACATGTTTTCATTTTTAGAACTCTGCTCAAAGTCGTACTCAAACATTATTCCTCCGCTTGGTTTTGAACTAATAGCTCGAGAGCTTTATAGCCTTAAACAAAATAATGATTCATCAAAATGGCTCCAGTGTCAGCTGCTGCCTCGTTGGCTTCTGAGCTTATAAATAGAGACATAACACATTTGTGTTTTTACAGTGTGATCAGTGGACACTAAGTGTTAGCAGATGTCAAAATAAAGAAGGACTCTCCAGCTAAATTCTGGACACAGGCCTTGATGCTACCTCTCTTCACAACACTGAGTTGATCAAACAGCTGACGAGCCAAAATGTCACAGAGATCATTCAGAGAGCCGAGCTCTGCGTTGGTAAAAAGGTTTAAAGATTCAGTCATTGCTAAGATATCCTGGTAAGGAGATAGCCTAGAGTCTGACCCGAGGTCAGGGGTTATGAGGTCACAGTTCATGATGTTTGGAGGTTAGTGATCAGCGGTTAAGGGGTCAAGTGGAACCATCCAGCAGCTGTCTCAGTGCCCTCTCAATGTTGATCCGGTGTCCCAGTCTGGTGACGCCCAGCTCCACATAGTCCTCTTTGGTGAGGGCGGGGAGATGGGAGCCTTCGATCTCGTGCTCCTGGAAGCGCTGGCGATGTTCGGCTAGACCCACGCTCTCCAGCCAGTCACCCACGTCATACTTATTCCACAGGTTGAGGGGCCGCTGCCTCCATGGCCGAAGGGCCAACAGGGGGCCACTGAGTACTGGGGAGGGGCAAGGTGAGGCGTGGGGTGAGGGTGAAGGCGAACGGGACCTGGTTCTTGCGCTGGCACTTCGCATCACAAAGCGGACCTCCTTTGGTTCTGAGGGGAGACTGAGACTGGAGGACTTCAGGATGGTTAGAGCTCGACCTGAGCTCAGATCTGGCCTTTCAGAACACGGGGTGGAGGAGGAGGTGAGCCCTATCGACCTATCAGAGGGGGAAGGAGAGGGGGAGGGGCTCCGACGGGTCACAGGGTAGCGACTTCCTGGTCGGACTGTGTAGCTGGCACCATATCCTCGCTGGGAGATGGTGTGGAGTTCACCGAGACTGGAGAACAACCTGCAACACATGAAACCGTAGTATAACAGAATACTAACGACAGGAAATAAAATTTACCATGTGACACTTTGACTCCACCCGCCTAATTATTGTTGCATTGCCATTCAAGCTTTGCGCTCTCACGTAAAGGAATAGATTCATTTCTAGTTGAGGAATGTCACCTGGATTATTGAACATGCAGAGATGTTAATGACATGTGAACTCCAGGCCTGAAAAGCAACGTTATATTTTACTACTGTTAGATTGTAAGCTACTAAACGGAATTGTTAATGTTCGCAGCTTACGATTGAACATCCAAATACAATTTTGAATCTGCTCCTTTTGGTTTTGTTCTTTGTTTTCGAAAAGAAGTCAAAAGTCTCCTTCTCATGAAAGACCAACGTTACCTTTTCAACCTGCTGCGAAACACGAAGCCTGACAGGCTCGTTAGGTTCGCTCAGCTTGGTTAGACAGAAGGTTTTTCAGGGGAGGTGTTTAGCAAACAGTACAATCAAACAATAATTTCAGATTTTTAGTAGTTAGTCATCCGCAAAGAAGGTGAACGTTAGTTAGCTGTTAGCTAAAGAAAGTCATCTCTTGGCGATAACAAGAAGTGTTTACCAGAGATGAAAACCTACGATTTACTCTCTCCTCTGTCGACACATCTGGAACAACACAAACAACAGACTCTGTTACAGCACACGCACAAACACACAAACACAGAACAACACGCACAAACGCACAAACACACAAACACACAAACACAGACAAACACAGAAGTAGTGCTATCACGTTAGTACTTACCTGGCACCTCCTACTGGTGACCTCCGGCCTGGGTCCAGAGGGCTCGGCTCCTCCCCCAGAGAATGACTGTCTTTGTTGAGCAGCTGTAGCCGATTGGCCAGATCCAGTCCAGAACCCGCTCTGCCACTCAGCTCCAGTGCTGAAGCCGAGCGACTGGTCAGATCCACAGCCGACCCTGACCCCTGACCTCCCAGTGCTGCTGGACGGCCTCCTCCTTCCTCCGGGCTGAGGCCCCGGCGTTCATCCCCGCGGTCATCCCCTCCTCCCCACAGCTTGGACCTCCTCTGGAATAGGTAGCGTGGCTGTCGACCACTGGTGGGGGAGGAACAGAGCGGTGAAGAAGGGGAGGAGGATGCAGTAGAGGGGAGAAGCTCGCTGTCTGATGATTGCTTCAGCAGCGGGTCCCGAAGCGCAGAACGGCCACGGCCGATTGGTGAACGAAGACGAGGCTTTAGGCCTGATGGGGAGGTGGCGACAGGTGAGGAAGATGGGTGAGCGGCAGGTGGGGAGGAGGGGGAAGCTGGAGCTGGAGGGGAGGCCAAGGTAATGGAGGGAGGGAGTGAACTGGGTGAGGAGCTGTCATGGAGCCGCTCATCACCTCCTTCTTCCTCATCTCCTCGTCTACCCAGGGAGTCGGGACCGCCCTCTCCCCCTCCCTCCCCACCTCGCCTTGGTAATAGGGTAAGAGAGGATGGGGGAGGAGGAGCAGTAGGACCGCCAAAGGCAGGGGGAGGAGTCACAAGACCAATTCTGCGCAGCTCCTCCCTAGTTTCCTCATCACTGGATGACAACAATGCTGGTGGGAGTGTCACTGTGTAAGCCCCACCCTCCTCCTCTGAGCTGCCCACTGTAAGGCTTCTGCGCCTGTCAATCAGAGCAGAGTGACTCTCATTGGCCAGTGGTGGCAAGGGGGAGGGTCTCCAACGTTCAGGAGATGGGCCAGCAGGTGATGTTACTCCTCCCTCTGTCTCTGGACGTTCTACCTGTCCGTCAGGGAACAGAGGCGGGGTTATGCGTTTATGCCTCAGCTCGGGGCTGGTTTGAGGAGTAGTGCGCTTGGTTCGCTGCTCTGGGCTCGTCTGTGGAGTAGTGCGTTTGGATCGGGGCTCAGGGCTGCTCTGAGGGGTGGCGATAGGGGTGCGCTTATGTCTGCCCTCTGGGCTTGCGGCTGGGGTGGGGATGGGTGTGGTGGACGCAGATGCGTGTTTAGTTCGAGGCTCGGGACTTGGTGTTCTGGCAGTGAGCGCTCGTTCTCGTGCAGCAAGAGCCAGGGCGAGTGGAGAGGACGGGTCTGAAGAGAGAAAAGGAGAATGAAGGTGAACAAAAGTTTGTTGTGGTTGGATCTTCAGGCTTCAATTGGGTTTACAACATCTCCTGAACAGTACAGGGTCATAACTTCATGCTTCCCCTTGGACAAGAACAAATATCACCAGCAACCTGAAGTTCTCCAGGAAGCGTCTAACTGAATAAACAGAGAACAAACAGTCCATTCTGATTCATGTCAAACCTTGGCACCCATCATTAGAGGAGATTTTATAGATTCGTCGAGACGTTGAACTTACCGAGAGGTTTTCCCGTCAGTGGGTGGAGGAAGGTGTGAGGCGTCGGTGAAGGCGATAGAACTGGGGCGGGAGGAGGAAGCTCACCAAGGTCGTCCATCGAGTGGCTCTGAGTCAGCAGGGGCGGCACCTGGTTTTCAGACCCCGCCCCCTCAACAGACAGGAAGAGAGACGACCGGCGGCCCTGTACCCGAGCGCGCTCTGAAAGAACCTGCTGCTGGTACAACTCCGCCCTGCTGGGGCTGCCAGGCCCTCCCCCATCTGACTTGGATGAATCATAATCTTTGATCCCAAGTCCTAGAAGAAAAAAACACAAGGATTCACACAAGTGTCACGATCAGGAAGCTTTGAAATATTTAACGGGACCTTGTGAGCACAGAATGTTGGTGTAACAGTATAAAATATAAAATCATTCTCTGCATGATGACAATTTCTCTTCAAAATAAAAGTGCTCAAAACGTCCCAAGCTGAAGAAATCAAAAAGACGACAGGTCTGAACCATCCTGACCCTGCTCCTCTACAGGAAGTTGTTTCAACAAAGGTGACTTCCTCCTCTGCGGTTTGGTGGGTGGAGCCTGCTGTCCCACGTTAGCATAAGGGTTTTCTATTGGTCGACCCCGGCGGCGTGACAGCGGTGAGTGGCCGAGGGCAGGGCTGGTGCTGTGGAGAGAGAGCGTGGAGGTGTGTGTGGCGGTGTGAAGCGTGTGTGTGGCGGTGTGTGTGGCAGTGTGCAGCGTGTGCGGGGTGGCAACCGCATGTGCATCAGGCTGCAGCGGCGGGGGCGTGTCCTGCAGGATGATCATGGACCTCGCTTTCCTCTGACGCTCTGCGTGGGCGTGGCTCCTCGACGGAGAATCAGAGAGCTCCTGCAGCCTCGGCTCCGCCCCTGGCTTGAAGCTGGAGCGGGTCAGCCCCTCCCCCCGGGCCGGGGGAGGAGGGGGGAGGAAGGAGGGGGGAGGTCCAGAGTCGAGGAGGAAGAGTGGGGAGGTGGAGGAGGCGGCGGGAGGAGGAGGAGGAGCTGTCTGAGGAGGAGGAGGGATGAAGCTGTCCGTCAGCGAGGAGCTCCGCGGAAACCGACTCTCATTGATCAGGGCTGAGATCCTGTCGTCCTCAGGTGTGCCTGTCGTGGTCACCATGGAGACGTCAAAATAAAAGCACTGAAACACTTTTTACACAGACACAGTGATCCTGACGATTTGTGATGATGTCATTGACTGTGTGAGTCTCACCGAAGCTCTTGGTTCTGGACATTCCTCTGGGTAAAGCCATGGTGCTCTTCTCTGGGGCTGTGGGGGGAACCAGACCCTGACGCTCAAACAGAGACTACACACACACACACACACACACACACACACACACACACACACACACACA